ATGAGAAAATACTGGGGGAGGTGGAAATGAGATGTCCCCGCATGTTCTTGCTCGTCCCCCACCTGTATTTTCTAACACAGGCATGCTCAAGGGGGAAGTCTCTTCCTTATTAATGACTGATATATTAACCAAAAACCACAGAGTGTGTGCCATTAGCATTTCTAAAGGAAATTATGAGATGGTTATATGCCCATGTATATGCCATTAAATTTCTAGAATTATTTTTAAAAGCCCCGTATTTTAGTTGCCCCATGTGTGAGCTCTGCCTCCAAAATAAAGCTCTAAAAACCCTTGCATAAATAGTGTTTATGAAGCACACAGGCTACATGTGTAAAAGCTTCAAGACAACATTCTGGAACATCAACAGGATCAGCTAATTTTTCTGCAGACGGTGCTTCACATTTTCTGGATTATGCTACACCTAAGCAGCAGCACGCTGAAACACAGACAGCAGGATCCATCAACCCTCCTGGAGAGTTCCACAGCACACAGAACACCCAACAGGTGTTCATTCCAGTGCTGACATCAGAAAAGTAAACACAAAGGGACTGGTACATTTGCAGCTGTGTGTTCCTGAAGCCAAATCAATTTGTCTTGTACTCCTTAAAGGTCATGAATATATTTGCTTTTTAAAACTTTCCTGCATTACAGGAGGAGTTCCGTAACATTGTTAATTTCATGTAGCAATTTTTTTTAACTTAGCTCAACACAAAGCTACAGTTTTAACAAGTGTCATTTTTTCCACTTCTCCAGAAAGACTGCACTCTACACACAGTTTCACTTTATTGCCACAAACAACAAGGAGTTTTTCTTGGTTGTCTACCGGTGCATTCCCTATACATTAGCTGAAGCGTATAAAGTAGGTTGCAGCAATGTTATTGAAGACAAACTTATGTGATAGATAACCAACTCTCATATCTAGGAAGGGTAAAGCCATGATAAGAAAAAAAATGTATTTATTTTATTTATTTATTATCTAATTTATCCCCCCCCCCCCGTCCCACGAACGGGCTCAGGGCGGCTTACAGTAGTGGCCCAATTGCCAACAAAACCAATAAAACAATATACAACATTTCATAATAGATAAAAACATAAAAACATAAGGTGCTATTCAGTTCTACAGTTCGTTGCTTACGATGGCGTATTAAGATGTCTCCAACAACTAGATTCCAGCTCAGTGTCGTTCCAAGTCACTCGATGTAACAGGCCAGATGTTAAAACTGAGGGCTGGGCTCATTGAATGTAATGGTGAGGGTGGCTCCTAATTGAAAGCCTGGTGGAAGAGCTCCATCTTGCAGGCCCTGAGGAACTGCACAAGATCCCGCAGGGCCCTGATCTCCTCTGGGAGCTCATTCCACCAGTAAGGAGCCACCACTGAGAAAGCCCTGGCCCTCGTCACGGCAAGCTTGGCCTCTTTGGGGCCCGGCAGGGTCAAATGATTCTGTGACCCCAATCTCAGTGCTCTTTGGGGTATATGTGGGGAAAGGAGGTCCCTCAAGTATGTTGGACCCTGTCCATGTAGGGCTTTAAAGGTAAACACCAGCACCTTGAAACGGATTCGGTATGCTATTGGCAGCCAGTGCAGGGCCTTCAACGCAGGCTGGATGTGCTCCCATCTAGGTAAGCCCATCAACAGCCTGGCCGCGGCATTCTGTACTAGCTGCAGCCTCCGAATTTGCAACAAGGGCAGCCCCATGTAGAGAGCGTTGCAGTAGTCTAGTCTCGAGGTGACTGTCACATGGATCACTGTGGCCGGGTCATTGTGGTCGAGGAAGGGAACCAACTGCCTAATCAGCCGAAGATGGTAAAAGGCCAACTTGGCAGTGGCTGCTACCAGGGCCTCCATTGTTAAGGAGGGGTCCAGAAGCACACCCAAGCTCCTAAACTCTGGTGCTGGCACCAGTGGTGCCCCACCTAAGGCTGGGAGTGGGGTCCCCACCCGCCCACCACCCCGGCCCACGCAGAGGACCTCCGTCTTCGCCGGGTTCAATTTCAGCTGACTCAGCCTAAGCCAACCAGCCACGACCTGTAACGCATGGTCCAGATCTCCAGGACTGGAGTTTGACTGGCCACCCAGCATCAGATAGAGATGGGTGTCATCAGCGTACTGATGACACCCCAGTCCATAACTCCAGGCTATCTGGGCCAGGGGGCGCATATGGATGTACTCATTCTATACTCATATATTTTACAGTTGCCTCAATAACCTTGGCTTTTGAGTGCAGCAGACTTTTTAAAAGCTTGCATTTCCTCGAACTATATAGAGCCTCACTGTTCATCCCTCAATACTAGCTTCGCTACTAAAGTCTGCTTCCTTGTGGAAGAGCTGCTTCATCCAGTAGCCAAGGGGCAACACTGCACAAGTTGCCCCACTTTCATGCACAGCAGCAAATAGGAAACTACTGCAGAACAACTAAACTCCCGTTATACAGTAAGGCACCCTGCACTCTGCATTTTACTACTCTTTCCGCAGTTGGGTGTTGAAAGAAACTCACATCTCAATGGACAAGGAAGACAGAAGAGTTCATCCTTAATCTCTGTTGTTTAGGGTTTTAACTAGATGAGATGCAAGAGATCCATGATTAGATTACGTAACATTTAATTTCATTTAAAACCAGCCAGAGGGTTGAAGTGTGCACACACTGATTTGGAGGAGAGCCACAGTAGTGGAGCATGGGCGTTAATTGCCTTCCCTCCCAGCGCTGTTTCCTGGACAGAAATTGCTCCAGCCCAACTGGCTGTCAGCCCCATTAGGAAAAAGAGGCAGCGGTTTATGAAAGAAGTTAGGAGATCTGATCATCCCTTATGTCTTATCTAGTTAAGGTCCAGCTTCTCAGTGAGATGGAAAATTTGTATACCTCTTCCTGTTGCCAGCAGGGGCTCACATGATTGGCTTGTATGGAAGAGTATTCAGTTGCGTGCAGCCACCACTGCAGTGTGAAGTGGGATAGCCCACACAGAAGTTTACCATCTCAGTCAGAATTAGGCCTACAGTAGTCATTATTTTACTGATGTACAAGGAATTGCTGAATTAACACTCATCAAAAAGTAACAGGGACCTGCCATTTCTCACACTAGGTGCTAATATTTTGCATTTCTCACCCTGTTGAGATGCATACTACTTCAGATGTACTCTGTAACTTCATATCGTATCTACTCATCTCAATTCACCCTGCACTAGATATTACATCTTGCCTAATAACTCTTGGGAGAGTCCCACTCCTGTGCTGAGAGAACTGATTACTTTTTGGATTGGATCTTATTTTTGACCAGCCTCTCTTTCTATCATTCACCCATTTCTGTTACATGCATAAATCAGGCCTAATGGATTTACACTCCTATGCACCTGACAGTGCACGCTCTGACTCATAAGACCTTATGCTGGAAGTTTTGTCAGTCTTGAAGTTGCCACTGGAACTTCACCATGCATTTATTTCACCCTGCATGTCTCCTAAAAATGTAGTGAAACTCTTTGATTAATACGAAGAGAAAGCCAGATGACACTCAAACGACAGAAGAGCAAGCACATGTGGCAGAGGAGATGTTGCTTAATAAGTAGCAATGCTAGTAAATCTCAGCTATAGCTGTTCCCAATGCACTCGGTTTATTATCTGGCCTAGAAAATCAACCATCTGCCTGCAACTTGTCACACGGGAGAATCAAAAACATTCCTGTTTTCTGTTAGGAGAAGCTCAGAAGTAACAGAGAGGGGAAAACCTCACAAAAGGAAATCTGTACACAGGAAAGGACGATTTCAGAACATGGCTGTAAAACAGCCACACAATTGCTGCTGTAGAGTAGTGTTTGTTTTCTACTTTTTCCTCATTTGGGGAGAATTTTATAGCTTATTTAATTGTTCAGTCCTTTAAGATCACTTCACACATTGTGAAAGCACTTTGAGTAGGAAACCTGAGCACATGTTAATATAATAAATGTGTGTCATCAAGTGACAACTGACCACAGGGTTTCCAAGGCAAGCAATTAGGCAGAGGAGGTTTTCCATTACCTTCCTCTGCATACCAACCTCAGCTTTCCTTGGTGATCTCCCATCCAAGTACTAACTGTGACTGGCACTGCTTACCTTTCAAGCTCTGATCAGGCTAGTTTAGGCTGCTGACTGTAGAATACCATATGGTAAGCAGGAGCACTCACACACACCTGTTTTTCAAACCAGGTAGATGGGATGCAAGTTCCTTGTGTAAGTAACTACACACAAACAGGTATATATACGTATATGTGATCTTCACACATCCAATACATGCATACTTCATGCTACACTGCTAAGCCAAAAAAAACCTTGCTCTTGTCCTTTCTGTGAAGCAGGTCAGGAAACAGCAAGAAACGGGATGTGCCTTCTGGTGAATTTCAGTTCCGGTGGGATTCAAAGTGAGGAAGCGGGGAGGTGCAGAGGCCTCGCGGTGAAGCTACACTATATTTATGAGTAATATTCCAAGTGGAACAGGCAACAGTGCTGTTCGACGAGACCACCTCACCTCCTCGCGGTCTTGATGGAGCCGGGCCGCCAAGCGTGCCTCACTCCTCAAATTCTAATCCGGCGCCTCTCGCTCCCCCTCCGGCCACGCGGCGCCAAGAAGACGTGCTGTCTAACTTAAAGCCCCATTCCCACCTCCGCAGGCACTTGCAAATGCAGAAGTCGGCGGGGATGCTGCCCAAGCGTCCCACGCAACGCGCACCCCGACTCCCGCTCCGCGAGCGACCAGGGCCAGATCGAGGCGGAGGTCTGCTCCAAGGGCGCGCGAGCAAAAGTGTCTCTCGCTGCCTGTCTGACACGCGGCATCCCTCCCAGGCTCGCTTCGGGCGTCGCCGCCAACGCCACAGCTGTGTGAGCCTGAGAGGAAGAGGAGAAGGCAGCGGCAGAGAGAGAGAGAGAAACGAATACGCTCCGGATCCCTCCCGCTGCTCCTCCGGCAGAGCAGCCCTCCCTCCACACAGCCTCTTCCCCCCCGTCGCCTAACCGGCGGGAGGACAGCCTGGCTCACCTCGGCCGCCTCTGCGGGCTGCGTCGCCGCGTCGTGAACGAGGCCGGGGCATGGCCGACACGGGCTGTTATCAGGAAGCTGCGTCGGGCCGGGAGGCGTCTCTCTGCTGGGGACTAAAGACAGGGTCGGTCACTGCCTTACGGGGAAACCACGCCGCTTGTTCCACCATCTTCCTTCCCTTGATGGATCCCTCGCTCGGCTTCCCCCTTCAAGCGGGTGCCGGTGCTACCATAGTGCCCTCTGGGAGCTGAAGTCCTCATCAACCCACCACGCCAAGCCAAAGCGCTTTTGTGACACCTGAAAGCTGGACTACGAGCCCCATGATGCTCCACGTCATCTCCGTGGTTTGCTGGGAAACGTGGTCCCAGTGATCAGGCACTCGGGAATGCCATGTGGGAGGTGGATGAACTACGATTCCCATTTGCCCAGGGCTGAAGTTTCACCGCCTTGGCGGGATTAACTCACTCCCACGAGTTCTGCGACAGAACAGAATGTGGCTCACGCCTCCTAGTGACGAGTTAGCTTCATTACAGGGGCCAGTACAGTTAAAACGTTGAAGTTCCCCAAACGTGGTGTTCGTTTTTTGGTTCTGTTATTCACAGTCTTGTACTTCCCAAAGTGAAAGGAACTCGAAACGACCATGGTTATTTCATGACTGGATGGTCAGTACGTAGTCAGCCTGACAATCTTTCCTGCTCACAGGAGATAGCAACTGGTCGGCTATGACAATTTTGCCAACTTCAGGCTTGGAAATTCTTGGAGATTTAGGGGTGGAGCATGAAGCGGATAGGTGGGGGAATTCAGCAAGCTATAATGCCATAGAGTCTGCCTTATCAACGCCAAGGACTTCAGTACTTTACCATAGCAAGCTATTTATTAAGTTCCCATAACACAGGCTGATGACACCCAGCTCTATCTGATGTTGGGCAGCCAGTCGGACTCCAGACCAGAAGACCTGGATCAGGCTTTGCAGGCTGTGGCGGGTTGGCTCAGACTGAGTTGGCTGAAGCTGAATCCAGTGAAGACGGAGGTCCTGTACCTGAGTCAGGGCGGTTCGGGGGTGGGGATCCCACTTCCGACCTTTGGGGGACTCCATTGGTGCCAGTCCCGGAGGTTCAGAGTCTGGGTGTGCTCCTGGATTCCTCCCTTACTATGGAGGCCCAGGTAGCGGCCACTGCTAAGTCAGCCTTCTACCATTTTAGGCTGATTAGGCATCTGGTTCCCTTCCTTGACCGCACTGACCTGGCCACAGTGATCTATACGATGGTTACCTCAAGACTCCACTACTGTAACATTCTCTACATGGGGCTGCCCTTTTCGCAGATCTGTAAGCTGCAGCTGGTGCAGAATGCTGCAGCCAGGCTGTTGATGGGTCTCCCTAGATGGGAACACATCCATCCTGTGCTGAGGACACTGCACTGGCTGCCAATAGCGTACCGAATCCGCTTCAAGGTGCTGGTTCTTACCTTTAAAGCCCTATATGGCCAGGGTCTGACATACCTATGGGACCGCCTTTCCCTGTATATACCACAGTCTGGGTCTCAAAATTTGTTGACCCTCCCTGGCCTGAGGGAAGAAGAAGAGAAAAGATTGGATTTATACCCCGCCCTTCACTACCCAAAGGTGTCTCAGAGCGGCTTACAAACTCCTTTCCCTTCCCCTCTCCACAACAGACACCCTGTGAGGTAGGTGGGGCTGAGAGAACTCTTGACAGAAACTGCTCTTTTTCAAGAACAGCTGTGCCAGAGTTATGGCTTGCCCAAGGTCATCCAGCCAGGTGCAAGTGGAGGAGTGGGGAATCAAACCCAGTTCTCCCAGATTAGAGTCCGCACATTTAACCACTACACCAAACTGGCTCTTACCAAGCTAGCTATTACCAGGGCCGGAGCCTTTTCAGTAGCGGCCCCTACCTGGTGGAACGAGCTCCCGGAGGAGATCAGGGCCCAGCGGGACCTTTTGCAGTTCCACAGGGCCTGTAAAACGGAGCTCTTCCGCCAGGCATTTAATTAGGGGCCGCCGCTACTGCAGACCACTACTGCAGAGCTCTGATCTGTGGTTTCAACATCCAGCTGATTATGAGCAGAAACATTGTGGAATATCTGGGCAGTGGAAATTTACTGACAGTATACCATCTAGGTTAATTTTTAACTGCCACCAGTACTTTGTATTTATATTGTTTTTAATTATGTGGTTAAATATTTGTGTAATTTTAATGTATATATCTTTTTATGGAAGCTGCCCTGAGCCCGCTTTGCGTTTGCAAGATATTCCACTTTCAAATCTGTGACTGGGGCTAATGCTTCACTCAAGAGTTGCTTTAGATTCTTGCCTTTTAATTCTGGGACCCTTTGAAATCGGAGGACCAAATTTGCTTTCTCCATTTGCAGCTGTAAAAGTTGTGATTCTTCCGAAGCTTCTTTCTTTTCCAGCTTTTGCACCTTTTTCTTACCTTTTTTAGTGTTGGCGTCCATTTCCTTCACCTTCTCAGCCGATTGCTCCGTCATTTTTAAAGTCTCAGTCAGTTGGAGCTGCTGAGTTGCAAGGTTCTGATTTAGAGTTGTCAGCTGTTGTTTGATGTTGGTCATCTGGTCCAGCAGAGGCGCAAGGAATCTGCCAACATTTTGGAGAACTCAGGGACCTCTTCCAGTTGAGGGCTCATGTTCCCCGCTGGTCTCACTTTTGCTAGTTTGTCTTTCTCTGCCCTCTTCCCCGCCATCTTTATGGATTGTTTACTTTTGTGAAAACGTGCTAAAGTCTCTGAAATTTGCCCATACACCTATCCGCGCTCTGGTAAGTCTCTCAAAACAGATTCCACCGCTTTTTCTTCCACTCCCCCCTTGGTATATCGTTTTTTTAGTTCATGCGCATGGGAGGAGCCCCTCCCCCGCTCGCTTTTCTCGCCGTTCCTGGGGGGGGGGAGCTTTCTTTTTAAATTCTTGTATTCGCTTTAACCCAACTCACTGTTCATTGTTGGTCATACAACCTCGCTGGGAACACGTTTAAAACGCTCTATCTCCAACGGTTGTCCCGGTCAGCGGCTCTAGATCCATACGGACACTCAGCGGAAGGACCGTCAGGACGGAGGAGCACCTCAATTCCCCAGCATCGCGCTGGCAAAGAGGTCGCCCCTCAAAAGTCCCATGGCTAGGAGCCTTTTGCCAAGGCTCCGGAGGGGGGGCGACCCATCGCCCCCCCCCCATCTGCTGGTGTGCAGATCACATCCCCGGGAGGTCCGGGAGATGTATCTGCCAGTGTGTCACCATAAACTGGAAGTCCATTCCTGTTTCACTTTTGTTGCTCCTCCCTTGTTCCATCCAACCCCTTAATTTTTTTATTTTTTTTGGTATTACACTGATTTTTGTTTTATTTAAAGCTATCAGCCGAAGACATGCCTTCCTTTGTACTGAATATGCAGCAAACATCAGCCCGAAAGACAGAGACATAAAAGGCATATCAAAAACAACTTTTCAAAATGTGGCAGTTGTTCCAGAAAAACCTCGCCGAAAGTCCCTGGAAAAGCTGTCATTAAGTTAGGGCAGGATTAACTCTTCTCCCCCCCCCTTTTAAAAATAATTAAATACTTTCTCCATGGGAACCAGTGTCTGTAGCATGGAGGTGCCAGGCCCTACCTGTAGGATGGCAATCCTACACAACATTATGGAGAAGATTATGGGATCAGGGCTGGTCTGATTGTGCAGCTCTGGCACTAGTGAACTACCAGGATGTTAAGAAAATAGCTGCTCTTCTTGTCCAAACAAGTGGGTTCTATATAAAATCAAGCCTGAACTCTTCGTAGAAGCTAAAATGACTTAACTAACACTATTGTACTTTCGTCATGGTATGAGAGAAGACTGGAAAAGTCACTGGAAAAGACAGTAATGCTTGTTGAAGGCAGCAGGAAAAGAGAAAGACTCAACATGAGTTGGATTGGCTCAATAAAGGAAGCCACAGCCCTCAGTTTGCAAGACCTGAGTGTTAGATCGCGCTAACAAAGGATCGGAGAACGATTTCAGCTCAGTGATTCAGCTTTATTTGAAGTAGCGAACAAACACTCAAACGCATTCCAAAACCAGAACGAGTTAACATTGGGAGCTATGCTCCTTTTAAACATTGCCGGGCTAATATAGCCACGCCTATTTACAATTAACAACCAATGCGATTGATGAGTTAAAGGCCAATGAGAGTCTTTCCCTCGCTGGAGCTTGTGCAGTTCCTGATTGGTCGCTGTTAGAGGGCGAGCAGTGAGAGAGTGGGTCGGGGCTCAAGCTTTGCATAGGGAGTGAATGAGGCGATTCATACAAGCGATCTCAATACATTACAATTCCTCCCCCCTAAGTTAAGACATTACCCATTACAAAACAGTCCATTACATTCGTAATCAGCGAGGTATTGAGGCGGTTGCCTGGTGCGCTGAGACCTGCGGAGTGGTGCAGGCTCAGAGGGCAATGTCTGCGGGGCGTTTAGCAAAGGTTCTGTACAACCTGGATCTGGTACATTAACTGCTGGGTTTGCTATTTCTAGTTCAGGGGTCTGATCGGCTGATGGCATAGTACTGGGTAAGTCAGTACTCACCTCCGTGTCGGGAGGTCGAAAATCACTTCCAGGGGACTCGGTCGTCGGAGAGTCGGCACTGTCCTTAGCCCAACGTCTCCTCAACTGGTCTATGTGGCGCCGCAACGTCCTACCGTTGGCCAACTGCACCGCATACATACGAGTGCCAACGGAGTCTAGTACCACCCCAGGGATCCACAAATGCCCGTGTGCATAGTTCCGTGCAAAGACCGTGTCACCCTTCTTAAACATGCGCACCTTCGGCTGTGAGTCTGTACGCTCGGACTGATCCCCAGTTAAGTCCGGATGGAGCCGGTTCAAGCGGGTTGTGAGTCTGCGCCCCATTAACAACTTGGCCGGACTACGGCCCATGGTACTGCAAGGTGTGGTGTGCTGCCGCAACAGGACTGAGCCCAGCCTTTGGCTCCAGTCCCCATCACACATTTTTCCTTGGGTCTCCTTAGCTGTCCTTACCATCCTTTCTGCCTGGCCATTAGATGCCGGATGGAAAGGGGCAGAATTAATTTGGCGGATGCCATTACTGGTTAGGAATTGTTTAAATTCCTCAGAAACAAATTGAGGCCCGTTGTCACTGACAATGACGTCAGGCAACCCGTGAGTGGCAAAAAGGCGGTGGAGCGCATGAATCACGGCTAGCGATGTGGTTGACTTCATGTGCACGACCTCTAACCATTTGGACATGGCGTCCACTATAATAAGG